CTGCTTCTATTTTACTCGTTTATATAAGTCAGTTAAAATGTTTATCTGATTTTGATTTAGTTTTAGTAAATGGTATCTCTCAAAAATATTTCTGGGCAGTGGTGGTGCATGCCTTTAATTTCCAGAACTTGGGAGGCAGAGACAGGGGAATCTCTGTAAGTTCAAGGCCAGTGTGGTCTGTAAGAGCTAGTTCCAGGACAGCTAGGAGTATTACACACAGAAACTCTGTCTCAAAAAATAAAAACCAAAAAAGTATCTATTTTTATAGATCTTCCAATTTGGTGAAGTATGAGTTTTAAGAATGTTTCTATAATTATCTGGATTTCCTTATTGTCTGTTCTTATTTTCATTTCTGATTTTGTTAATTTTGAAATTCTTTTATATTTATTGGTTCTAGTTTCATTTTGCATTGTAATCACAGTTCTATCCCTTTCCTATTGCTCTATATCTTTTAGTTAATTTGGATAATGGTTTGTCAATCTTTCAGTTTCTCAAATAATAAGCTCTTTGTTTCATAAATCCTTATTCTTCCTTTTGCTGTTGTTTCTATTTTACTGATTTCAGTCCTTAGTTTGATTATTTTTTGACATCTACTCCTGTTGGGATATGATTATTTCATCTGTCCTAGAACTTCCAGGTGTGCTAAGAAGTTGCTAGCATGAGACCTCTTCAGGGTTTTTTTTGGGGGGGTTGTTTTTTTTTTTAAACTTAGTGCTATGAACTTGCCTTAGAACCACCACTTTTATTTTGTCCAATAAAAGAGTTTGGGTATTTTGTATATTCATTTTCATCCTATTCTAGAAATTTGTAACTTTTTTCTCAATTTCTGTTGACAAATTTTATATTCAATAGAGAGTTGTTCAGTTTCCATGAGTGTGTAAGCTTTCTGTTGTTTCTCTTTTTGCTTATATGCAGCTTTAATCCATGGTGATATGATAATTTTCAGAGAATTATTTTATTTTCATGTACTTTTTAAGACTTTCTTTGTGTTCAAGTATGTGGAAAATTCTGTAGTACATTCCATAAGAGGCAAAGAAAAAAGTATATTCTTTTGTGTTTCGGTGAAATTATCTGTAACTGTTTTGTAGTTATCTGTTTGGTCCAATGGTTTGTAATGTCAGTGAGTGTCATCATTTCTATTTATTTCTTGCTTACTGACCTGTCTATTGGTGACATTTGGGAGACATCCCTCATTCAGTATGTAAGGGTCAATACATTATTTACCTGTATTGGTATTTCTTTTAAGAACTGTAGTGTCCTTACCTCTGGAGCATAGATGTTAAGAATTAATATGTAATCTTGGTGGGTTTTTCCTTTGGTGACTATGTAGTGTCCTTCCCTGTCTCTCTTGATAATTTTGGTTGGACGTCTGTTATGTTAGATATTAAAATGACTACACTAATTTGCTTCTTAGATCCATTTCTTGGAATATCTTTATCACTTTACCTTGATCTAATTTAATATTCATGATGCAGAGGTATATTTCTTGGATACAGCAGTAGGCTAGATCCTATTTTCTCATCCTGTTTGTCAAGCTTTGTCTTTTCATTGGGGAGTTACTGCCATTAGTGTTGAGAGATATCAAGGACCAATGATTATTGATTTCTGTTGTTTTAGGAGTGGTGGGTTGGGGTGGTGGTGGTGCTGTGTGTGTATATGTATGTCTGTGTCATTAGCTATTTTAACTTTGTTGATCTGAGATCTGAGATTATTTATTCCCTCTATTTTCATGATTGTAGTTAACCTCAATAGTTTGTAGTTTCCCTTCTACCACTTTATATAGGGTTGCATTTTAAAATACATATTGATTAAATTTGGTTTTATCTTGGAATGTATTGATTTTTTTCATCTATTATGATTGCTGGGCATAGTAGTATTAGCTGGCATCTGTTGTACCTTAGAGTCTGAAGCATATCTGTCCCTACTTTTTCTGACTCTTAGAGTCTCCACTGAGAATGACAAGTAATTTGAATAGGTCTGCCTTCATAACTTATTTGATCTTTTTCCTTTGCAACTTTAAATAATCTTTGTTTTTTATCTTTGGTGTTTTCCTTATTATGAAATAAGGTGAGTTATTTTTGGTTCCAGTCTATTTGGCATTCTGCATGTTTCCTGTACTTCAAAAGGCAGCTCTTTCTGTAGGCTACAAAAGCATTCTTCTGTGATTTTGTTGAAAATACTTTCTAGGTCTTTGACCTGAATTCATTGTCTATCTTCTATTACTATCACTTTTAGATTTAATGTGATTATTTTTTAATGAAGTCTCAGATTTCCTGTATGTTTTCTATGAACAGTTTTTTTTAATTTCAACAGTTTTTGACCATTGTATCCATTTCCTATATTCTGTCTCCAATGCCTGAGATTCTCTCTATTTCTTGTATTCTGTTTTGGAAGTTTTATTTCTGTAGTTTCTGTTCAAATTCTTAAATATTTTTACTATCAGAATTTCCTCAGTTTTTGCTATTGGGATAATTCATGAAGCACAAATTAATTTCAAGTTTCTAGTAGATCTAAATTTATACTCTTTTTCAGGTTGTGTATTCCTGCCCAAAATCATATATATTTTTATTCTTAAGATTCATGTCCAATTTATAAACAATCACAATATTTTTCATAAAATATACATAATTTATAGCAAGGAATTTTTGATTTGGATTAATTTTTAGCAGAAAAGCACATTTCGTTTTTTAACACTATTAATGTATACTTATATTACTATCTATTTCCTCATCATATCCTTTAGACTTTGAAAAATTTCAGTTCTATATGTTTGAAATTTTATTACCTGTTCATTCTATTCATGTATCACCATTCTTTCTTTTGAATATATCATTATTTTTCTTTTTCTTGTTTTTTTTTGAGACAGGGTTTCTCTTGACTCTTGCATTACCTATTCTATTCCATGTATCATCATTTTCCTTTTTAAAGATATATTTATTAATACCTTGAAAATTCCATACATTTTTTTCTTGACCCCTTGGCTGTATTCATCTTTCTCTGTATTTTGTCAAAGGCTTTTTCGGCATCTAATGAGATAATCGTGTGGACCTTTTTTTTTTTTAATTTGTTTACATGGTGGATTACATTGACAGATTTTTATATGCTGAATGATCCCTGCATCATTGAGATGAAGCCTATTTGGTCATGATGTGTTCTTGAATTCAGTGTGCCAGTATTTTATTGAGTATTTTTGCATCAATGTTCATGAGTGAGATTTGTCTGTAATTCTCTTTCTTAATAATGTCTTTGTGTAGTTTGGGTATCAGGGTATTTGTAGTCTCATAAAAAGAGTTTGGAAACATTCCTTCTGTTTCTATAGTGTTGAACAATTTGAAGAGTATTAGTATTAGTTATTCTTTGAAAATCTTGTAGAATTCTGTGCTGAAACCATTTGGTTCTGAGAATTTTTTGGTTGGGAAACTTTTGATGACTGCTTTTATTTTGTTAGCAGTTATAGGTCAAGTTAATTTGATTATTAGGTCATGATTCAACTTTAGTGGGCAATATTTATCCAGAAAATTGTCCATTTCCTTTAAATTTTCCAGTTTTGTGAGGTACAGGTTTTTGAAGAATGATCTGATAGTTCTCTGGATTACGTTCATGTCTGTTGTTATGCCCCCTTTTCCTTTCTTATTTTGTTAAACAGATATTCACTCTCTGTCTTTTGGTGAGTTTGGATAAAGGTTTGTCTATATTTTTTATTTTCTCAAACAACTAACTCTTTGTCTCATTGATTCTTTGTATTATTTTCTTTGCTTCTATTTTGTTGATTTCAGCTTTCAATGTAATTATTTCCTGCCTTTTAGTCTTCCTGGGTGGGTTTGCTTCTTTTTATTCTAGAGTTTTCAGGTTTTCTGTTAACTAATTAGTGTGAGATTTTTTTTTAAGTAATTTTATTAAATTATAAAAGTTTCCATTTCCGCACCACCTCCCAACACCCTCCCACTCCCCCCACTCCCTCTCCTCCTCCCTCTTTGTCCCTAAGGGCAGATAGGGTTTCCTGCCCTGTGGGAAGTTCAAGCTCCTCCCCCTCCCTCCAGGTCCAGGAAGGTGAGAATCCAAACAGACTGGATCCCCAAAATCCAGTATATGCAGAGGAAACAAGTCCCAGTGTCATTGTCAATGGCTTTTCAGAAAGACTCCGGGCTAGCCACATTCAGAGAATCCGGCCACATTCAGAGAATCTGGTTGGATCACCTGCTCGTTCAGTCCCAGTCCAACTGGCGTTGGTAAGCTCTCATTAGATCCGTCTCCTTGTATCAGTGGGTGAAGGACGAAGAAAATGAAAAAAGAAATAAGGACTGCGAGGGATGCTATCACCCACTGATACTAGTGTGAGATTTTTTTTTCAGGTTGTTTATGTAGGTATTTACTGCTATGAACTTTCCCATTCATATATAAATAAAAAAAAAAGTAACTGGCTTGGACCTGGTCCCATGGAGAACACCAGTTTTGGCCTGGTTCTATGGATGTCCCTGGCTTGAGTCTGCTTTTGTGCATAATTCTGGCTCAATGGAGGCCACTAACCTGGGCCCAGTCCCACATCTCTGAACTGGCCTGTTTCTGCAGTGACTACTGAATTGGGCCCAGTCCCTCGGAAGCTATTTCTTCATCCCTGCTCCCTTGAAGGTCACTAGCGTGGGCCTGCTCTTGTAGAGGTCCAAAATGTTAGGGTTTCTGCTCTAGTTTTTTTATACCTTCAGATAAGCAATTTGTGAAATTAAACTGGTTCTCCACTGTAGAAAATATGTTTTATCTTTCGAGGTGTTTCAAATTATTGTTTCTTTATTCATTTGAATGTTGATTTGCCATGTGAAGGGACTGTTTTCTTTAGGACCATGATCTTTAGGATGCCCTGAGCTCCTTCAATCTTTAAATTTATATTTCCATAAGATTTAAAGATTGCTTACTTTTTGTCTGATTTTAGAAATTTTTTCAGTGCCCGTCATACTCCTGGAATTCTAATAATATGAATTTACAAGGCTGTGACTCTAACCTACCTGTAGGACAAAGACTCAAAGTTAGGAACAGAAGAAGTAAATACACCATAGTGTTTGCTCTCCTTCGTTATGATGACCTTCCATCCTATCGATCCTGGGATAGTTTTCAGAGTTTACATGTAGGCATGCTCAGAGTCCTACAGAGAAAAAAAAAATGAAATAATTTGGAGATGTCAACTGTGGAGAGCTTTTCATTGTTCTGAGCTAAATTCATAATTTCTAACGTGACTGTCAAAAGCTATTTTAAAATATATTATATTTTAAGATAATTAAAATATATTATATTTTAAAATAATTAAAATATATTATATAAATAATACATTTTAAATATATAATTATGTATATGGCACCTGAATTTAATCTCTCGAGACTCATGTGGTAGGAGGACAGAACTGACTCTCAAATTAGTCTCCTCACCTCATACATGTTCTCTGGAATATACTATTGCACACAGACACCAAAAATATTGACACTTTAAAGTTTATCTTGGATATTTTGCTGTCCTCTTTTCCACCCCCTGTTTTTTCCAATTATCACACTAAAAATGCGCTAAGAAACCTACACTCAAGCATGCCTATCCTGTCTCAAGTCTTTTTTTCATTCATTTGTCCATGTTGTTATCCCTTTTCATGACTCCCACCTCAATTCCAACACCTTCTTCAGACAGATTCTACCACCCACTTGGAAGGAACTGCTTTGGTTTCCTCCTCTACAGGCCCAATCTATACACTATTCTGTCAACTGGCGTCATATAGTAACTGTAGACGTGTAGCATGCTTTCACTAACCATTCCCTCTCTCTGCAACGTGACACTGCAGTTAACTTGTGTTGATTATCTTATCTAGGATCTGTGTGAGACTTGTGCTGAGCACAGAGCCTGACCTGTCGTGAGGGTTCACTAAGAGTAGGGAATGAGGCAGTTATACTTATTAGAAGTTTTCTCATCTCCTGTGAGTTAAAGAGGAGATGCTATCTCTCATATAAAAAATATGCTTCTATGACTCCACTATGCAAATGTTAGTTCTTTCTGGAATTGATAAGTATGCTAAAGGCCAAGATGTTCTGATTCTGGTTTTCTTACTTGAAACTAAGAGATGTGGAACTTCCTTAGGTGTCCATGTTGCAAAGAAAAGAGATATCTCACTCAAAAGTTATCAAAGATGTGACTCATCATCTGAGAGAAGAGTCCATGGGTGTGACTCAGGTCCATCACTGCCTCACTGGGATCCAGAAATAGATATGAGAGTACAGACATAGAAGTATCACAACTTAAAACAAAGAAGAGAGAAGCAAGACACAAGGTCATCCTATCTGCATCATTTGCAGTGTAGAGATAGCTTTGTCTCAGACAAAAGGCATGTATTATCTTTGAAGGAAACGGAAATATTTATTTCAAATGCAAGACATTTTACTACTGTGTTCTAGAGGCCATAACCACCAAAACTATAAGAAAGTATACTGACAATATCTATGATGTTCTGTCTATGTCATTTTGACACAACAGTACCAGAAAAATAAATAAATTGAAGTGTTTCTTCAATAAAAATTATCTCTATGTCTGATCCTTGGCATTGTGAATGTCCATTTGTATAAAAGCAGGTTATTCACAGATCTGAAGTGAAAGAAAGTCTATTGGTGGATACTGAGTCTTTGCAAGAGACAGGAAAAAAAGCTCCCTAATTCACAGAGGTACAAAAGACAAATGAAACCAAAGGCAGAAGTTGGACTTATGCTGACATAAGTATCTATGCCAGACATAGCCCTATGTAGGATGAAGCAAGCACTATTTTCTCAAGAATAGTGGCCTTACTTGCTCTTGATTTTGATCTCCTCATCTGCACAACTACAAGACAGCAGATACCTCTTGTTTCAATCCATCCCAGACTGTAGTAATTCGTCAGGCCATGCCTAGGAAACTGAGACACCCTTTCTGAGCTTGTACAACCATCTGTACAAATCTGAGTTTCAAATTCTTTTGACTAGATAAAAAGAAGAGCACACTGTCACTCTACACAGCACATCATCAAGCTTAACTGTTAAAATATGAGTCGAGGTAGTGATCCCTTAACTTTGGGTGGGAGAAACAGCTTGACTGATGTATGACATCACTTCTGGAATTCACCACATTTCCATATCCATAGTTTCTTTTCTGTGTCATGCATGGTACTGAACCATAATCAGAAGTTAAAAAGGTATTTCTTCACATGGCTACCACTCTGATAGCGAGCAAAGATTTCATAACAACATTCTGATAAACATAGAGTTAACAGTGATGAGCAATATTATGAAGTGAAGACATTCCACTAAAGGACCGTTTACAACATATGATTGTGGCTGATAAATTTGAATCTCTGAAGGTTTCTATTTTCTGTACAAAATTAGCTATAGAGTAGAAGCAAGCTTCATCTAATAATCAAAATTGAGATTATATTAAGGGAATGCTGCAGGCACCAGTTAGGAACCATTTAGTTTTTATTTCATTTTAGACCAGAAAAGCACAAATCAAAGAGCCCACCCTTAAATATGGAGGCTTTTTCTAACTGGGAGTGTTGGACCTGTGCCTGAGTGAAGTTTAATGATATTTAAGTGGACAGTGCTTCGGGGTGAAAATCTGATGTAAAGGATACCAGAAACACATGCTGTCAGAACTCTAAAATGCCCTTGGGATATCTCCAGGATAGGATAACCCTGCTGTTTTCACATCTGTCTTCCTCAGGGCTTCTATAGTGATCTTTATAAAGTAGCAATGCCACTAGCTTTCAGCAGTGATTAAAACTTCTGGCTGCTGTCCACCTGCCATCTCCAAGACTCTGGCTACTTCCTTCACCTTTTACAAAGGGCCCTTCTGAAATTCTTTTTCTGACTATATCACTTACTTCCCCCATTCTTTATCTTATCATCTTCAGAAAAGTTAAAGGTCTATAATTACCCTCTTCTAAGTCTCCCAGCTTGTTCCATTGATTATTTTTTGTTTCAGGCTCCATTATTTGCCTCATTTTTTCCTGAATTTTGTGTGTTGTCACCACACTTCATGGTTCCCTGTGTTGTATCCATGGTCACTGTGCAATGGCTAGTTTTACAAATATGAAGGATGTTTTCCCAACTCAGAATATAACATCCTGATCAATCACATCTGAATTGCTTCCAGTGTGTAGATGGGGGTGGTGATTAAGAGTCCAGAAAGACTTATATTCAGCTAATAGCCCTGGATAACTCATAAGACTTATGACATCAAGTTATTTTATATCATCCATATGGTATACAACTTTCTCATGTCAAGGACCCTGGAACAATCCTGTGATGCATTATCTTTGTTTAAGACGCAGTATCATATCGGAGTTTCCCAGAGTGCTCAGAATAAGCTTGCCAATGTATGAAATTGAGCATATTTCTTACAATCACCATGGTCTTAGATTTTTTTCACCTTATTGTACTCCATATTTTTAGTTTTCAAGTGTAATTTTGAATTAATATTAGTGCATACTTCTCAGGTTTTGTTGAGAGTTTTACACACACACACACACACATACACACACACACACACACACAGACAGAGAGAGAGAGAGAGAGAGAGAGAGAGATCTGTTAATCCATAAACATTTAGGTGTTTAGAGTAAATTTTACGACTGTGTTTATTGTTAGTAGCGTAATTTATAATTGAAAATAAATTCTTAAATTTCTCGGTCTTAAAGAGGGAATAAGTAAAGGCTAGACTCAGGAGTGCAACTTCAAGCAAAACATTTGGTTTGAAGTAATGAGACTGACATGGATGAGGAATTTTCAAATAGTTCCCTCCTCTGTCAGATGTACTCACCTGATATGACATTATAAGGAGCAAATACATTTTGCCCCACTGTTACTTACCTAGAGCGTAATTAGCAATCATTATGTGGAAGCACAAGATAGTTCTCTGGCTTGCTTTGGACCTAGACAGCTGTCCAGATTCTCTTTTTCATAGCCATCAAGAACAACAATGGTTGTAGTAGGGAATCTATATTCTCAGCTAAAAAAGGCCCTGGCAAAAATAAAGAGGACCTTATTCTTGTACTCTCCAATGAATCTGCCATCTTCATATAAAGCCTCTGGTTGTTTTCTTCCTGGGAAGAAGCAGACTGTCTTTTATGCCTTTCCTCAGGGCAACATTCCTTGACATGGATAACCAGCTTCCTTACATAGTCCCTCAGCAGTGACACAGTAAGGCAGCCTAGTAAAGATTTTATCTATTTCCAAGAAACTTTATTATGCCTTGCTGGACTACCTTATGAGTCTGAGGTGTCTCTTGACCTTTGATGCTGTTTTAGTAAATTCACTTCATATTTGTTGCTTGTGAACAAATTTTGTCTTAGTGAAATCAGATAGTAGTGACTATGTTTTATAGTAGTGTTTAGAGTCAAATTTGTGCATACTATGTCCTTTGTGCATATCTATCTTCCTGCCTCCAGTACTCCCCCATATAGAAAAGACTTGTAAGGACAAACTTGTTATTTTCCAAATCATGTCCTTTTGATCTTTTCTGCATTTCTTCAAACTAGGCAACGCATGAAACTGTAAATTTATTATACAAGTGAGAAAACTGTAGCTCATAATGTCACATCAGCTTCCAGAAGGTTAATGATTATGATTACGTGAAACCGGAATAAAAATGCAGCTGTCCTGGACCCATAGAATAAATACCTCTTACATATCAGCCTGCTGCAAATAAACCCATTCCTGGATATTGCAAAACTTAGAATGCAGTTAAATGCTTTCTGTTCTTATATTCATGACGTGTCAGAATACAAGTTTGAATCCAATGGCAAGCCAAGGCACATCAGGTGGAGTTAGGGTAACGTGAAGGGAACAGGAGGAGGGAAGGAAGTGGAAACTGGTATTGGTATGTAAAATAAAAAAGATTGTTTTAATAAAAAAGCAAGGCAAACAAACCAAAGATATGAATATAACTGAAACTATTTAAGAACAGCAATAAGACTGAAACCATCACACTCAATCTTTGTGTTACATTACAAATATCCTGATTAATATGTTGTTAGGTCACCATTCCCTCAGGTCCCATTCAGGATCCTTGAGGTAGACATATAGTTAATTTTATTTTTATCAATTTCTTTATAATCTGTTATTCTGATGGTTCTATAGTTGC